CCTCAAGCTGTCCTCCTGGGTAGAGTGCTGTGGCATCACAGCTCACAACAACCTCCAACTCCTGGGCTCAAGTGAGTCTCCTGCCACAGCCTCCAGAGGACTGTAGGCACCTGCCACAATGCCCGGCTATTTTTTGGTTGCAGCCGTTATTATTGTTTGGCGGGCTGGGTTGGATTCTAACCCACCACCTTGAGTGTACGTAGCTGGCACCTTAGCCACTTGAGCCACAGGCGCCAAGCCATGAAACTGTATTTTAAGTGTAGTTTAAACTCAGTGAACAGTGAACATGTGGTTGGTGGTCAGCAGGCTTGCTGTTTTTACAGGTGAGTTGGCAGTGCTCTTTGGGATCTGTGTCCAGATGTCTGGGACTGACCATTCTTGGTATGGGAGCTTCTGTCTGCATGCCTAGAATGGGGATGGGAAGGATTCAGGGGGCACCTGGGTTCACAACCAGGTGATGCATGATGAGGCCCACCTCACCTAGAAGATACAGCCTCTCAGGTGTCAGTGTCCAGAGCACTGGAGAATCCCCATAGCCACATCTCATGATGGGGGGAAGGTCCTTTTTGTATACACGGCCCTCTAGGGGAAACTTGCTGGGACCCAGACTCAGATAACAGGGTCGAGTACTAACCAGAGTGGTCTTAAAATGCCGAACGCATATGGCATGCTTGAGAGTACACAGTTGTCAGAGCCAGTAGCGACCTCATGGCACCCATTTCCTGTGCCAGGAAAATGGGGCTTTCAAAGCCCTGAACCTAGGATGCCAGAACATGCTGAACGTGATCCTGGCAAAAAAATCAGATGTTCTTTCCAAAAAAGTGACATTTTCTTGCTCCATTGTCTCCAGAGTTTACTAACTCCAGAGTTGGGGGAGCAGCATCTCATTTTGCAGGGGCTAGGTTGGGGGGTGTTTCTGGGCGCCGGGGTCCTTTCTAGTATCTGATTCCATCTGGGATACTGGAAGGCCTTCTGGGTAGCAGCCCGTCTATGCACAGTGACAGCTCTCTCCTCCGCTGTCTCTGGAGTGGAGTCTTCAGGGCCAGTAGATACTTAGGGGGAACCCCAAGCTAGGGGGGGCAAAGCACAATATTGCCACTTGGACAGTGGGTTAGAATAGCCCTCATAGACTCTCTGAAGGCTTTCATGGTGACAGGGGAAGGAAGGGCATATATTACAGATGGCGTAGTCCAGGGAAATGTACTGGTTTTCAGGTTCCAAAGTGACTCCACACGTTCCCCACTCTATCCCTACAATGAGCAGGCTTTGCGGGAGTGCAGGAGATTTAGTTTTCTCTCCTGGAGAAATGACCATCTCTCTGTGCCTCTCCTCTTCCTTGGCTGCTAACCCCGTCCCATCCCGGGGCCACTCCTGTTCCTTGACAAAACCAGAGAACATCTGGGCTGGCTCAGCCCCTGGGTGTCAGTCACAACTCAGACGGAGACCTTCCTCAGAAAGCAGCCTCCCCCCAGAAAGAAATTCAGAGTTGACTGTACTCAGGAATTTTTTCCCTTCCCTTTTTTTGTGGGGGGAGGAGGAACACTTGGCAGTTCTTGGGGCCCTTCTGGCCACCAGCCCCACATCTCTTCCTGGCTGCTGGGAGGCAGGGCAGGATGGAAGTTTGTGGAGAAGGGGGCAGGGGCTGGCAAACTTCCAGCTGCCGGGCAGAGGAATTGGCCCACAGGCCCTGGGGAAGTTGGCTGGAGTGAAGCCTGGGGAGGTTTCTAATTAATGGCTTGGGTGAAGGTGTGTCAGTTTGTGTTCATTCAAGGAACTAAGCCCTCCTAGCCAGCACACAGCCGGGGGAAGGGGCTGAGTTCCAGAAGCTCTTGGTAGGGTGGAGGGAGGAGGCAGAAGGGCTGTGCTCCCTATGTGGCATCTTGACCACACTTGGGGGTATAGAGAGTCATAAGGAAAAAAGTGCTACCTCAAAGGGGTAAATGATAAAATAGTAATTAAAAATGCTTTGTTCCAGACCTTGTCCACCTCTACCCGAGAGCCCAGTGGTTTTTGTTTTGTATGTTGTGTTTTGTATTTGTCCCCCCTCAGCTCTGTTTTAGCCTTGGGATTCTTGCCACTTGACAGATGAAGAAATCAAGGTTGCACTAGAGTTCAAATGCCGGGGTAAATGCCGGGCGGAGTGCAGTCTGGGTCTCTCCATTCTCATTCCAGTGTGCGCTCCGTTCTATCAGACTCACACATGCTACAGAGCAGTGAATTATATACTGCTTCTTGGAAAAGCTCCTTTTCCCTGGGAGGTAGTAATTAAGGCATAGCTTCTCAAAAATGTTCCTTTACGCAACTCTCCAGGAAGTTTCTTTTAGGCCTATTGTCTTTACTTCTGGATAGAGGTGCCAAGTTGCTTCTGGATGGTGAACTTGCTTTCTAAAGTGCCTGAGGCCAAGGAAACATGAAAATGGCAATGCCCTTGTGCTCACGCCCTGCCCCTGGGACTGACTGATAAGGTGGGGTGGTTTCTGTGGCAACAGTAGTGGGAGGTGTGTCAAGCAGGATCTGGGGGCCGGGAGGGATGGCTTCACTAGAGCATAAGTCTTTTGAGGTTGGCTGGGGCAGCCGGCTATGACCGATAGCTCCTTCCCTTCTTCAAAGATTGGGGGGTGGGTGAGGTGATGGGGAGCAGAAAAAACAAAGCCCTGGGTTAAAAGGTCGTGCATGGTCACTGCTCAAGTGATGGTGAGTGACCACATGTCATTCTGGTTGGTTAAGAGCAGTGGAGCTAAACAACTTGGCTTTGGTTTTGGCTCGGCCCCTGGCTACGTGACTTTGTGCAGTTGCCCTCAAACTATAGCTCCTTTATCAAATATGAGAGAGGATAAGAAATTATCAACCTCATGTGCTTGCTTGATAATAAAACAAAGTTATGTATACAAACCACGTAGCACAGAAACTCAAGATAATCAAATGAGATCGTGGAGGTTCTGATACCCTCTTTTTCTCCACACAGAGCAGGAGAATGGTAAAAGCCTATTTTTTTAGATGTTTTCTGATTGGTCATTTTAAGAATACTGTTGAGGGTGTGGTTTATTCCATGAGGGGTGGATTACCTGGACAGTCTCATTAGCTTTGGAAAGCCTGGTCCAGAG